AATAAAACATTTTCAAGGGAACTATTAGTAATTTTTTTATGTTTAGAGATTAGTCTACCTTAGTTTCTATTGAACTCTTAAAAACTCTGATTTAATGTTTTGGATTGATTTAATTTGATGTTATGAAAATTTGAATTTTATTAAAGTTTATTTAAAATTTCCGCCTTATGTATGATTACGAAATGATAGCAGTAATATCCCAGAGTTTAAGTCATTAAAATTTGGGGCTTTACACGTCTCCTAAACTATCGTGCCATCTCTCCCATCTGCTCGCCAACTCTCGACACATCTCGCCCATCTGACCCGCTATAAATATAGTCAAGTGGTCATACTGATTAGTGGACGGGGGAGAAGGTAACCTGATTAGAGGCGATGATGCCCTCGACGGTGGTGAGGCCCACGGCGACGGTGATCGTCGATCTACTGGACCGCGCTCCTACACGAATTGGAACATTAAATATTATTATATTTAATGAAAATCGGCTAACGCATACAAAACTGTAATAAAAAAATATATTCAATTCACGTACCTCATCCCGGTTAGCTTCATCGTGTGGGGCTGCCAATTCACGCACATAGCTACGACCCTCTTCCTCCATCGATCGCATGAACTTCGTTATGACTTGANAAAACTGTAATAAAAAAATTATATTCAAGATAGAATCAGATACCCGACCACCTCATCATGCAGAGCGACCAATTCACACACATATCCACGACCCTCCTCTTCCATTGACTGCATCAACTCCGTTATGACTTGAAGTCGGCATACCAACATTTCGATTAGTTAATGATTACGTCTTCATATTTTGGAGCTACACACAACATAAATTGCAAATGTATTACCTAATATGAGGTTTGTCGAGGAGAGCTGATAGCTTTTTGCTAGTTGGACATCCCTCTGCAAGGAAAGCTCACCAATGATGCATTCGAGGGCAGCGGTCTCCCCTCACCTCGTAAATCGGGCACCTAGGAGGGAGACCGTCTCGTACGCCCAGATCTACAACACATACCATTATTATATTCTTATTTATTGTAACCAATATTTTTATAATAAATTATGTCAAAC